ATTCTTGCGAATCTTGAAAATTTCAGTCTGCAGATCAATTGCCGCGTGAAATGTAAAAAAAAAAATGGTACTAACGCAATCATGAATAATGTGTGCCATTGAAATTTTTTTTTAGAAGACTGTTACAACTGTGTTGCGAATTTTTATGCATTTATGGAAAATTTGAAGGTGCAAAAGTGCTCTGAGTGCATGTAACAAGCAAAAATATCTACTCGTAATATTTAGCGAATGAAACAATTGCCTACCTAACTTCTATTTTTCTAATTATATTTGCAAAAAATATGAATTTGCATAAAAATTCGCAGTTTGAAAAATTGTCTGGCGAAAGTGCGAAAATATTGTGGCAAAATAATTTTTATTAAACGCGTATCAGACACCGAAAAATTAGGGTTGATTGAAAGAGGTGTCAACTGTGCAATTTCATTTCTAAATGTAGTGACGGAGTTAGTTAATTTTGAAGAGATACTGCTATGACACTTGAACAGTAAATTATCAAGCAAAATGAATCGTTGCACCACTATAAATATTGATTAAATTTAGCACGGCTATGAAAATGTTTAACTGTCTAGGCAGTTTGTTGAAGTAGTGTATCTGGAGTCTACAATGCGTCAGTATACGTCGTGAATAATTAATAAAGGTGGCTGCAATTACTTTCTATGCTGGACATTTGCATAGATAAATTACAATTTTTCGTGATACCTTTCAACTGTATTCTAATTATTGTAATTATAATTATGCCTGTTTATATTTGAACATTCCTTACGTTCTACTAATAAATTTGCTTTGAGAAATTTTATTATAAAATTTGAAGTGTTTTACGTCGCATTTTAAACGTTTAAAAAATTTTAATAATTAGGCGTATTTTATTGCTACAGCAAACGAGATTAACGTTATTTTTCCACTATGGAAACTTTCAAAGGAATAATTTTAAAACATCCCCATAGATGGTTATAATTAAACTGATTTAAAATTGTTAAACATAAAAGTAGTTCGAGATATTTAAGGTTGAACTTGTGCTTCATTTATCTCACTGGAATATTTACTAGTTAGGTAAATGTCCACTTAAGATTCAAAGAGTTAATTTAAACTGGCTGTATTATTTTTAGAAAAATACGATTTTAACTATGAAAATCTGTAAAATATGTTTTACTAATCATCTGTGAATGTGAAGCATACTGAAATCTGTTGAACTCTGCTGAAAGCTATCAAAATCTACTAAAATCTACTGAAATCTATTGGTTTCTACTAAAATCTACTAAATTTCACTAAAATCTACTGATATCTACTAAATACACACTTGGAGAACTTTTCAAAATGCACCTGTGTGCTTTAAAGCAAAAGTCGGTACTGTCTCAGAAGTTGGTAATGTCATTTACGGAATGTCACTGTCTTCTTCTCTACTACGACTTTTTCGAGGTAAGCTGCCGGGCCATGTGTCGTTGTTTTTGAGGATCACTGTACTCCTGTGTCACGACGTGCCCTAGATTCGTTGGTGTAGGGAGGTTTGCTCGGTCACGGGGATTTTTTCAATTGTTAATAATTAAAAAACGAAACCTCAAACGCAAATTTCTTATTCTTTATTCTCGTCTTATTTTCACTTGTAGAATCACCCCATTAATTTTCTACCAACTACCGTCGAACACCTTACTACACAGAATAGTAAAAGTCAGTTAGAAACTAACTGTTTTTGTTCGAACAGGTTTGTATTACGATACAACGAACAGACAATGCGTGTTACAAACGCCAGATCTATTAAAACCCTCACATGTTGAGAGTTAACTGAGAGAACAACAATCTTGAATGAAACGAACAAAGTATATATTTTCTGAGTGATTATAAAACGATTAGTAAAGCTCTGTAAAATTAATATATTAGCAGATACGAGCAGGCATACCAGCAAAAAAGCAATTGCACGGTATGACAACGCAATCCACAAAATCCGCACAAGGACACGACATAAATCGTGAATTATGCGGCTCGTCATCCGAGCGAATGATCTTCCACGTGGACGATACATCGTTCGAACATTCTCACGAATCATCGCCGGATTACTGCCACCAAACGGACAATTGCCACAGATTATATCCTACAGAAGATTCTGCGGCTCTCCATCTACAAAGTCCCGATAAAACCGGCTTCCAATTGGATGACCATTCGGCCCTTTATCTGTCGAGCCCTGACGACGTGCTACAACACAATGCTTCCACCCAGTCAAAAATCAGTAACTCGAAACAAACCAGAAACAATTTGGAACTCGATCAACGTTCCAGTCGTCGTTCCAGCGTGCAATCCAGTCGTTCAAGGACAAACAGCTACAGCAGGCCAACATCGTTAGGTAGGAGACAATTGGGTCATCAGACTTTTCGATCGATAACGCACGGTAGTTTTGTTTCCGTTTTACATTTACTGATTTAACAACGATCTCGGACTCGCCGATTAATCGTATCAGCCGATTCATGTCAAATGTAACAGTTTCACACAGCAAAATCGTTTCAGGAAAATAATTACGCTCGTCGCAGTTTTACGTGGCCAACCTTTATCGTTCAATTTGCTTAACATATGAGAAAGATACAGTTGTTACTGCTTAAGGCTTCCGAGTGTAATCCGCGTCCACTAGGGATTTTATCTCGACGTTTCGCCAGCATTGCGGCTAGCTTCTTTAGGGGTCAAGTGAAACACTAATACTGTCGTGTTGTCTGGTAGTTCCGGAGCTATATGTATAAACTGTGCTCAGGTTATGGAACTGTTTATGATACCGACAGATGTTTCAGATAAAAGTCGAATCGTTTCGAGAAAGATATAATTTCATGCGAGTAGTTCTCTTGTAGGTGGAAGAGTAGAGATTATAGGAACGTTAAATCTGTTTAGTCTACATGTTTACTTAAAAAACAAAAATTTCCGCTAGAAATTGTTCAATTTTTATACGAAACTTCTGTCGGCATAATTAACAGTTTCGAAGATTTTCGCAGGAATCGATTTAAATCGGACACCCGGTATGCACTCCCAAACTACCCCACGCACGAACATATCAATGTATCACTTGACCCCTGAGGAAGCTAGCTGCAATGCCGGCGAAACGTTGGGATAAAATTTTTAGTGGACGTGGCTTATATCCGGAAGTCTGAAACAGTGGCAACTGCATAAACTCGGTTCGTGAAACCCTAAAATTCTTTACGAAGGAGATAGTTGTTCGTAAATGGCACTGTGAAAAATTATTTTACTGAAATTTGCCGAGTGTCGGAATTCTTATCGATCGCTTAATCTGTGAACGCTATAAAGGCATAAATGAAAACCTTAAATAAATTATTTCGCTTTTTTCAAAAAAATTTCATCGAATTAAATAGTTGAAAATTCGAATTTTTTAAATTTCACAAAATTTTCAACGTCGAAGCGACAAACTTTGGAATCTATTGACAAACGAAAAGAGAATAGGGAAACCAATTGTAATCCTGCGAACACAGGGGAGGGAAATAGGCTTAAAGTACGAAATAAAAGAATAATATACGAGTAAATGACCCCAAAAAAAAAAAATCTTCAGGAAATGGTAGAAGAGGTAGCGCAAGTAGAAGATCGAAATCTCGGAGAATGAGTACCACTCGTAGAAAGGATTCTGTTCGACCAGTTAAGACGGAAGCTAAGGATGCATTGAAGATTGCGCAAGAAGCAGAGGACTTAGAGCAGGCGAGACGTCATCGAAGGATTGCTATGATCGTCCTGGGGACGTTTCTTTTCCTTCTGGCTGCTTCAGTTCTCGTCGTGGTGGTTACGTTAACTCATAGCTCATTCTTGAGCCCGGCTACGGGCTCTAAGGAACTTGCCGAGCACCGAGCCCGATGTAAATGATCATTTTATAAAACAATTTCGACTATATGGCATTTAAATGGCATTTAAATCGACATTTTATAAAACAATTTCCAACTTTTTCAAAGCTGTTTTACATGTTCTACAAAAAAAAAATCCTGATCGTTCTTTAATTAGAATCACGATTAATTTATTATTACTGTTTTTTTCTTTTTTACTCAAAAATCTGCTTCTGAGAGAATTTACAAATAAGTAAATATGTGATATATTTTTCTATAGTGATTTCGAAGCTCGACCTTAATTACCGTGTCGCATTGCCTCTTCGGTATAAAAGCCACTGTAATGTACGACAGTTTTATGTACATTTGTAATACAGTTCTATATTTCATTCACTTTTTACACAACTGATCACGAAATGACGTAAACGGTTCAGCTATAAAATACATGTGTCGTAGATATATAAATAAAGTTACTTAAATTATAAAGTCTCAGCTCTAAATAAATGCATATTACCATTCTTAATCCTAGAGGAACGTTATGATATAAGTTATTCAGGAACATGGGAGAAATCAGAATTTGCAGTAAAAAATCAATCTTGAGTATCAAATGTTATGTATGATTTATTATGAAAAATTTACTATTACCGTATGAATATTTATGACAGTAGGTACAGAATTCACGTGTAACGTGTGATCAGTTGCACTCGTGGGTATAATAAGAGAGTAATGTAAAGTTATCACTTTCCCATATGAGATTCACATAACTTAATTTGAACGAAAACGGTGCATTTGCAACATGTGATCCCTTTCAAACTTTTCTCCTCTCGTCGAATAGAGTAAGCACTAATTAAAAAGAAACTAACGTTAACTTTCATCGATATAAACAATTTCTGGAAACTTAAAAAGAAATATCTCAGAAGTCCATAATTAAAAATACACCCTCTGCTCAATTTTGGAATTTGTAAATAATTATTTCTACGAACGATAGAACTCCAATATCGCAAAATTTCGAATAAAACCATTTACCACGTACACGATTACAATTCTCTATTATTTACTGTGTGTTCGTTTCATTTCCCCTACGAATGGGCCAGTTTCGTCGTCGCTTCGGTAAAACTTAACTCGATATCTGATTTCGCTCTATGTTTCCTCGTGGACGTAAATAATCGACAATTAACCAGAGACTTCTAATTCTTTCAGTGCGCAGAGAAAACGAGGAATTATTGAATTCTCTGAACAGAGTCTTCGTAGCCGAAAATTCAACAGTACCTCCATAGAAAGGCGTGCCACGGCAGCAAAAATGGCCGGCTCGAACGAGCCTTTCGAAGAAGAACGTTCGCAAAAGAAGAGACGGGAAGAGAAGGTACGCGAGAAAGAACCGGTAGAAAAGTAACAGCGATTGGAGAAAATTTTTTCGTCGACGATCGTTAAGATATACACCGGGAGGGAATGATCGAGTTTAATTTGTCAATTTCGTCGCGGTACACGTAGCTTAATTTGTCGATAGTAGAGGAAGTTTGAACTAGGTCTGTAACAAGATGGAATCGATGTTATAATTTTATCCCGAATATTCCGAAGGTACGTTCAACTTCTCTTCTTCGTTGCATTATATAGTTTGAAGGATATTCTCGGAAGGAACGAGGAAGTATATAATTGCGTGGAGAGAGAAAGAAAGGAAATACGTAAGATTGTGTACAATTCGTTGATATTGCTTTTATTAGGTTTGTTATTGCTGTTGGTGCGGCCATCTCGATAATCGTACGAGCTTTGTTATGGGACAGAAAGTTTGAGCTGTTGCACGTTCATTTTCGAAGCATGAAACACAGTTCGTTTCGTGAAATAATCATTTGAGGATTGATTGTACACCGTACACCGGACAACGAAGAGAAAATGTTTAAAAGACATTCACGAAATTCAATTTTGTCTCCTTGTTGGAAAAAGAAGTGGAAACGTCAGTATCTTTGAAAGATAATAATTTTCCTTTTATTTTACACTTGAATGTATACAAAGTGTAATTCATTGCAGGCTATATCTTTATATTGTGAGAAAAAATTATTGAGATTAATTTTAGTCGATAATTATTGAAGTAAATACTTTCGTAATTGGTACTGAACGATTAATTACTGGGAAATAAAATTAGAAATTTATCTGTCAGGTTTTTTAAACTATTAATTTCTTTTTTTACAAGAGTCTTCCACTTCGAAGGAAACTAACGTAACAAATAGTTATTAAAATAATTATTCGATTCTTTTTCCCAAGGAAATACTTGTTTGTTTCCGCACTTCGTTAGCTGCTTACGCATAAAAGTCATTCGGACTAACTGTTATTAGGCGTCAATCGTTAGAAGAGTAGTCAGAATAATTGTTGTTGTCAATTGTTTGTAAAATACAAAGTGGCATCGATCAAAGGTTTATACTACGCTAGGTATCATTTTACGAGAAAAAAAGAATCCAAACGAGATTTTGCATGTTAAGAAGAACACTGTCACGATTTACAAAATTCCATAATTCGCACAGTTTCACCAATGAAACTCGTCAACTGTAAAAATAATAATGCAACTTTGTTGAAAAAGATGTAACTTTCAGTTCAGTGAAATAGAAATTTTATATCGTGCGAAGAAAAAAATATAGTTAACTCTAATTATACCTTCCTTCTGACGTCAATTCATACTTGAATCAAGGAGCTCACTTCCTTCAGCAAGTGTCTTTGAAAATATTCGAAAATGTGGGTAGATGTATGCGAAGTCGAGTGCTGTAAATAATTATATAAAAATGTTATCGAGATAATTTTTTCGTAATAATCGTGACAATATTCTTGTTAATGTCCATATCGTGCAAGTTTTGTACATAACATTTTTTTCATATTATTACAAGTAACGCAAGTATATTCCAGGCGGACAAAGTTTTTGCACCACCCTGTATACAATCGAGATTGAGTTAAATACGCGTAATGCTTTAATCGATAAGAAGTTTGTTATTTGTACATAGAACTGTTTCATTTCGTTTTAGTTCATTTAACGAACTACTTTGCCTACAAGACGCGTATCAACATCGGCAACTTATCGCTGAAAACGAAAAAAACAAAAAAAAAAAACAGCTTCATCGCAAAGTGTATTGTTCAGGAAAATTGGTCCATGTCATCTTTCATCTCCATTTCAAATTTAGTGTCGCGATCGAATGGATGATCATCGACAAGTAGTTTTTTGTCATTTAACTGTATAATCCGTAGTTTCTGCGACCTCGCCTTTCACAGCTAATTTAATATAAACAAAATGTATGTAGATTTTGCCAACAAAAATGTGGAAAAGTGGAGAAAGTTATGAAATATTAATAATTATTGATTAATCGTCGAAACAACGGATCGAAACGATGTTAAACGAGAATCTGTTTAAAGAGAACTTCGTCGATAATTTAGCGTAAAAGAGTAAAAAGCTTTTTGAATTCGAAAAGAATCGATCCAACACGTATTTAGATTCAATACGTGCGAAAAATATGTAACGCTTGTAAATTCGCTCAACTCGAGCAGATAATTAATTCGAATATACATACAGGGTGTTTAAAAAAAAAGGAGGATTACTCACTTTAGGAGGAAGTAGTACTCGTTGAACTGTGTAAAAAAAAGGTTGAAAAATTCGTATCGTTGGAGTTACAGACAATTTTCTATTTTAACAGCACAAGTGGTTTGCCTTTTTCACTCGACAAATACAATTCAAAAGTCAATTTTATTTTAGTGTAACTTTCACTTCGTTATTTATGCTTTGCAAATGCAAATGAATAGCAATGCAAAATACTCGAATCTTTTAACACAATTCTTGACAAAATTTAACGGAGTTAAACTGCGATTGGGCTTTAATTACTGCCTAAACAAGAGCACAAATGAAACGAAACTCAGTCTTTAGATAAATCATACTTTCTTTAAGTTAAACATCCTCCAGTAGAAGAGATAATATGTTGGCTAGACGCTATATCTCAATTGATCTTCAAACTCCATTCGTTAAGTGAAAGAAATCAATCACTTCTGTTATCAGAACAAAAACGAATCGCCATTATCTTCGACAATTTTTCACTCAGTCCAGCAAGTACTGCACGCCTTCAAAGTGGGCAGCTCTTATTTTAACACCCTGCACACACACACGCGCGCGCACACTCACACGCGATTAACAAAGTGTTTTTTCAATATTACATTATCTATTGATGAAAATAATAATAGTAAGCCCAGTGAAATTGTAACACGTGTAATCTGTTGTACGAAGAAGAAGAAGAAGATGAAGATGAAAAAAAAAAAGTGTTAAATACATCCGTGTTGAAATATGAACGAGCCTTAAAAGATAATGTTTGCTAGGTTATAATTGATACGTACATTTGTAATATTGAATGGAAATATTAATACGCGTTACTAAAGGTTAACGGTATAACGTTACATAAATATCTAGTCGCATTAGTAAATTACTGTAAAACCGTTAATGGAGTATATAATTCGATAAATGAATCGTCTTGTCCATCGATACTCGACCAATTTCTATCTTGTCAATTCTTGTCTTTTATGACGGATTATCAATTTTTGCTAGTACACTATTTCTCTTATTATTCTAAAGGCAGCCGTCCTCAAGAAACGTTACTCTTCTTCTCAGGGGACAGAAAGATCGAAACTTGTGTCGCGAGGTTCTTCGAAACTTACGGTCGTATTCGGGGAATGTTCTCCAATCTACATCAGTTTTCTCATATTTTCTTTTTATAAAATTTAAAATTTCTAAAAATTTCGTTTTTATAAAATGAAAAAATGGTACAAATTCATTGTCTTCTTCTGTAGTATTGTAAAATAAATATTACATTACGTATTGCAATCTTCTATCAACTTTGTGATAAGTATCATGGATCGTTATCAATGTTTCAGATAAAGCTGACGATAATTCATATTCTAATTATACGTACATACTTTTCAAGAATTTTTATTTCACAGATCACTTACCTTTCTTTACCTTATTAAATAAATAAATACTTATCTCGATTCGAATAAATATTTAAAATTCACCATTTGCTTTACATTAGTGATATCGATTCCTTTATTATCGGTAACCATCTGGGTAATAAATAATCATTTCATTCTCAATTCTAATCGATATTAAGATTTTATCAAATGCTTCGTATCGAATTATTAAAGGGTTTAAAAATTCAACGCGGTTAAAGTTTCATCTATCTAACTTTGTCCTCTCGTTTCAGATAACATTCCCTGAACATGTATCCTGACGTTTTCTATTCAAATTGATAACAGATAAATGAAATAGGTGAAAATTTGTAAAATGTGACACTCTTTAAAAAAGAAAACGTTGCATAGAACAGCGGCCGATTCGTAAGGTATTACCGAAGCTCTCGAAATTGTATTTGCGTCGCACAATCTATCGTCGACCCTACTCGTCGACATGCTCCAGTGTAGAATTAGAGACAGTACCGTTCATTTAAATAGCTTCGTTCACTTCCTTTTTAATAAATACAAAAAATTCTAACTTTTTATTTACTTCTATCATATTTATTAATTTGCACTTCCGTTTATATCTTTTCAACAAATTTGTATGCCATACTTTCAAAGTGCACCGTTGTCCAATCTCTTCAACATTCGATGAAATTCTGCGAGCCATAGAATGATAACAATGATAATAATAATTAAAAAAGGAAAGAAATTGTAAAGTTTCTATTAAATATTCAATTACCATATTTCTCAAAAGTATTGTTAGTATTATAAATAAATAAAAAAGTATGGCATGTCGTTGAAGAAATAGGGATGATCTCTGCATCTCTTCAGCTCGACGGGAAACTTCTATTCGTAAAATGTTTACATTCTTGATTCGTCAGGTGTTTAAAGTGATAATTTTTTCTTTCTGCTCCACCCTGTATACAGATAACACCTATCAATCCACAATGCATGCAATTGATTCTAAATTTTAACCGAGGCTATTTAAATAAATAATATTGTGTACATCTTGCAAAACGAGAAATTACTAATTCCGTAAGAAGATTTTATCTGTTCTTCTTCATATAAAAATCGATATTGTAAATGGCAACGGGTGAAGAACGTCACAAACCTATTGCAATTTGTCACTTCGAGGAATAAACATTGTTACGACAGTGAAATAGAATCACTGGTATATACTTGATACTATTAAATACATGTAGAGTACTATTATAATGGTAGATCGTTCGTTCATACTTTTTGGTCGGCATTCTCAAGACACAGCATTCTCACTATGTCTAATAGGGCAACGAGCCGCAAGTATTCATCG